GACTAAGTATGTTTGTTACAGTTTCTTCTCTGTGTTCTGTCACACCCTTTTATGGTCATTAAGCTCTGTGTAATTCAGATTTTTGATGGTTAGTTATTTTGGACTTGGAAGTGTGTTCCACCAACACCTCAACCCTCTTTATTTAGGCAATGACTGTGGGACCTTTCAGTGATGCTGCAGAGTATTGTTAGACTTCCTGTAATTGTACGCACCTTTGGCAAATTTCTTTAGCCCTTAAAAGATCAACATTTACCTACTGTGCTATATGTACAGGGTTTGTGTTAAGCCTGAAAGATGTATTTCAAGAAAAACATTAGAAACTGTCACAAAAGCCACAGCAAATCAAAACTAAAAGTTAGCTGGCATAATAGTGTATGATTAAAGATTTTAAGAAAAGGTTATGCGTGACATGGCAGCTGTTAGTTTGTCACCATTGATAAGCCTGCTCTTTTTGAAATGACACATATCTTCATCACTGCCTGGCTTCCTCTTTCACTGTTTATCTGAAAGTGCATTAAGATTAGAAACCCAGGCCAGAGTCATGCTGACAGTCATATACTACTTTAAAGTCAGCTTGTGATGCAGATAAAGCTGGAAGTGTGAGGCTGCCAGGAGAGAAGTCCAGGCACACTGTGTACATGCATTCTGATGCCAGCGCTGCAGACCCCAGGAACTCAGCAGTAAAAGAGAGGGACAATCAGGGGAACAAGTTGGAGTGGTTTTTTTTTTTTTCGTTTTTTTTTAAGCACCTGAAATGGCAGAAGGCTACAGCTGAGTGAGAGTGCAAAGAAAATACTTTGGGTTGTGATTTCAAAAGCCTCACATTACAATGTGCTTAGGTATTCTTACCAAACCAGGAATGCAGAGGTTTGAGGTCAAAAAAGTTTTCACGCTGCCTCAACTTAGGCACCATGCTGCTGCGGGGACTACAGTTTCCAAAACAGTCAGTGCACCATTCCTTCAGAGGTGAGGCCAAGAACCAGGAGATACACATGGTACTGGGCCACTTCTACCCCTCCACTCATCAATGCTCATGACTGTGGGAATGAACTATGCCCTGGTTTCACCTGCTGTCTCCTATAGACATGAAATGGGTTTCATTTAGGTTTGATAATTGTTGTAATTGATATGAATTAAACTCATCATTACCCCAACAGGTATCAGTTGGTGGGCAGTTCACAGAAAAATCCAGTGTTACAAATATAGGGGCAGTGGTGGATTAGTGGTTAAGGAAGCGGACTTGGGTCCGGAAGGCTTCAGTTACGAGTCCAGTTGCTCACTTTGGTGATGGGTTAAAAACAGAGGTCACATTTGGTTGTGTGGTGTGGTGTGTTGTGTCACAATGGGTCAGTAGGTCACTTTCCTTTCCACTTTCCTATAGGATGTCGAACATAAACACAGGGAATTCAGGAATTTATTTTATTTTATGTTTGGTATACTTCATTATTTGGCAAACACATTTATCATAGTTTATTTAAACGAAACAAAGTTAAAACATTGGTCACAGATTTTGGCAGGTGGCTGTCCATAAGCCATTCACTGTAGCTCACCATTGTTTAATGCAGGAGATCCCATCCTATTCAAACACATTTAGTAGTTCTTTCTGGAAAATATACATAGAGGAAAAGTAGATCTGAACCAGAAGAAACAGAGTATCACCTGTGCACAGTATCGTGCACGATGCTGCCATGGTGACTCAATTGAACAGAGGGGCCGGGTCAGGAGCAGATAGATGGAGCATTCATGTGAACAGAATTAAATGACATTTATCTAAAAGTCATGCATAAAGGCTAAAGTGCTAAAATGTCTTTTTTTTTGATCATTTCTACTCCATCTATTGGGGAAATGTGGGTATTGCAGTGAAAAGGAAGGAGCATAATGATAACATAAATAAATTCTATAATTTGGAAAAGGTTGAAAGTGAGAGAGAGTGGGAGACAGAGAGAGATTCTGGCCCAGTTCCCACCTAAGGTTTGGTCCAAAAAGGACAGTCAGGGCTGGTATAGAACAGTGAGGTGTCTGCATAGTTTTGCTGTGTGACTTGGTAGCACTAGCAGCAGAATGACCTAAAACTGTCAGTCCAACATCACGAGGCCACTGGTATCCTTGTCTTAACCAGTTTGGAGGAGAGCCTGCCTGTGAGGCGGTTGAAGGAGCCATACTCAGCTTTGAACTGAGTTCATAAAAACATTAGACCGGACAGTGGGAGTGACCAGGGTACCTAAATTTAAATATTATATACTGTATGTGTCGTAAAGGTCGTGCATTGGCAGTTGTCCTTTAAATGCCAGCATCCCGGCCTCACAGAGTTGGGAGACATGTGACGGGTCATAAGACATACTGCGTGGCATACGTCTCCCATTTCTCTTCACTGTTGATTGTTGAGTTGGCAAAACACACAGGACTAATTTGAGATTTTTGTTTGCTCCTGATATTGGACTCCAGTTATTATTTTTTGTTTGTTTGTTCTTTTGTTTTTTTTGAAGAGGAAAGACTTAGAAGACTTAGAACAAAAATAAAGAAATTAGAAAGTGACTTCTTTATGACAGGGCTGTCCAAATTAAAGAAATCTCCTCTTTCGTACTAAAGATTAAAGATTGAAGACTCAATTTCCTTCATGTATTACATTTGATCAAATCTGTTTAAGGCTTACATTGTTTATCAATTTTATTGTGTATTGAATGAATAATTTAAAAGTAAAATGGTTAAAAATTGCTTAAATCTTGCGAGGAATGCACTGTAGAAATAAAGTTCAAATGTTAACTAAAAACTAAACTAATGTTTTTATGCAAAACATTAATTGAAATTTGGTGAAATTAATACTAACCTGACCAGATGTATAATTTAACAATAGATTACTTAGACTGAAGACTAAACTACTGGAAGTGGAGGAACTTAAGCCAGAGGTTGTGTAGTTTAGCCATAAGTTAGCCATTAAAGCGCAATTTACACCAGAAAGAATCTTGTAGACATACTGTATAAGAGAAATAATGCTAACAGTGTTAGCCTGTCTGTCTCATAGTGTCTTTAGACTCTTAACTCACACGAAATAGTGGGACTTAAAAAGAAGACGATATAAACTAGTAAACAGGAAATCATAGTACATATGCTGATTTTAAGGGCCGGGACAATATTGCAGGTCAGGCAGTTTTTCCTCTGACCACATCTACTCTCCTGTATTCCACTGGGGGAGCCATAGTGAAACCAGAGTGTGATACAGAGGGAGTCATATTTCCAACTACGGGTTGAAATGGGTTGACGAAAGTTTACAGGATTAGAAGACACAAAAACACAGACATTTCAGCTGATTATCTGCTTATGTTCACATCACTGGTCAGATTTTACTGACAATCACTGACCACGTGTTGTCTAATTGCTGAAGACAACCCATGCCATAACAGGCACTCGTGGTGGGATGTGAGTCATGAAGGGATAGATGGTTGGGATTTCTTTTGTGTTGCACCAAGCCTTGGCTAATCATTTGACAAGATACTTAGGAATCTTTGGAGAGTCCAGACTGCTTGTCTACACTTCCTCTTGTCACAGAGGTCAATGCCCTCCACTAACACACAGCTTAACCTTTGACATCAGCAGGTCATAACTCAGCCTAAGGTGGTAATATCTGTGTAGCTCTTTAACCTTTTATTATTTTATCAACCAGATGGATAGTCTTTTTACTAATGAACTAATGAATTATGTCTGGTGTATATTGTAGAAACTGATACACAGACCAAAAACCACAGTTTTTCTTCATAATATGTACAAAGTCACCTGGGCTGAGCTTGGATCTCATACATATGAAAGTGATTACATCTTTCTCATTCACATATGTATAACTGGAACTGGACTGTTTTGATAAACTGAGTGGACACTGTCACTCAGTCAGGGTCAGGGGCAGATTAAGGGAGCGTTTGTGTGAACTAAGATAAATGAGATGTAAAAGTCATGCTCAAAGGCTAAAATGCTTTTAGCATTTTTTACACCATCTGTTGGGGAAACGTAGGTATTGCATTATGTGCATTATATGTATTATATAATGTGGAAAAGTTTGGCGGGCTGGATTAAAAAGCTGACCAGGCCTGGTGTAGGCGATCCACTGCCGCTGTTGAATGCAGAAATCCCAACTATTCGTGCTGCTGCGACAAAAAAATGGAACACACACTTCCAGGCGGGGCAACTGTGACGTTACTGAGGTTGACATTGATGTTTTGTGCCATCGGGTTCAGCCTCTCATATGGTACAGCGAGTACAGTGATCACAAATAAAATGGGGCCATGTTACTCAACTGGGCAACTTGACCCTTGTGGGGCTTGCATACCAGAGCTCCTATAGGTCTGTACACACAAGTGCCGAGGTCTTCCTCCTGAGTTCTTAGAACTGAGGAGGCTGCCATTAAGAGGGAAGGAGGACTAGTTTGGCTCTGAGCCAGTGTTCCATGGAGACAACAACATATATCACCACGGGGTGGCGAAGAGGAAGATCGGGGAGTGAGACAGAAGTAGAGAAAGACAGAGGAAAGGCTTGAAAGCATGTGGCTGTGAAAGGAGAGAGGAGTGCTCACAGAGGTGCTCAGAAGGCTGCTGGGTAGGCAGACGGCAGAGAGCCAAGCTGAGGAGCTGGCTGTGGGACAGAGCAGTACTTGGCCTGGTGACAGCAAGGGGATAGACAGAAGGGGTTTAACCCACACTGAAGTTTTGGTGTCACACTTCACTTTTATTCCCATTTTTGTTTAACTGCCAAAGTATCTATTAAGTATGACGACAATACGTCCAGATATTTATTATTATTATCCATCCATCCATCCATTCATCGCGGGGGCAGCAGTCTCCCTGACCGCCACCCAATTTACACTGCACCGTACCAGCCCCTCGTGAACCTTCCTGTGGGTGGTGAGTCCACTGAAAGGTTCCAACCGCCCTAACTGGGATTCGAACTTGTCCAGAAGGTGAACCCTGGGGTTCCACACCAATGACAGAGACATTCCCTCTGGGCCAAAGTGCCATATTATCATTATTATTATTATCATTATTATTATTATTATTATTTGTAGTAGTAGTAGTATATTTTGTCCTTCAGTTATTTGGAAATCCTGATAATCTATCCAAGTACACCTAGATTGCTATTTTTAAAAAATAATAAAAAAATATTGTATATCTTAACCTGGGATAGCAGTAGATACTTTGTCCTTTCAATGTATCCTGCAGCCATATTTCTTTTTGATAGTTCTCCTTAACTATTTGCATAATACTTTTAACTTTTAACTGCACACAACAGGTGATAAATGGGTCTGGTTTTGTTGGTCATGTGGGTGGAAAAGGTCTTGACAGGGCCCAAATGTTACGTGTCATGTCAATGTGATTTTTTGTTTTGTGTGGCAGTTCTGTCTTCGATATTGACGTTAAAAAAAGTTGTAGTCAGAATAACATTTAAATTAAATAAACATTTTGGGGTTTTGACCCATAACAAGACAAGTCATCATTGTTTTAATAAATATAATAGATTTTGATAGGAAAAGTATATGTGAAATTATCTTTAATTGATTGATTTTAGTAAATCAATTAGCTAGCTAGCTTAATGCTTGTTAGTTCTTTACATTACTTTAAATAGTGGTAAGATTCATGCCTGGCAGCTGGTTTTGAACCCACAACCCTGGTATGGAGGGTCATGCCATGATGAAACACTGTCACACACAAGGAATTGCCCTAGTCATTGCTGCCTACAGTGCTAGTTAGTGCTATTTATGTGGAAACCCAGTCAGGATCAAGACAATAAACAGAAATGTGACCTTGCGTTAGTGAGAAATGCAGTGTGGCGTGTAGCTTCACGACGTCAGGTCATTTATTTATTTGCCCCTGCCTTTTACTCCACCTAGTGCTTCTCCAAAGATAAGCACTTTTACAGGAGAAAAGATCGATGGTCTCACTTTCAGCAAGGGCTTTCATTGTTGCCACAGTCAACCACAATCCTGCTTTGATGGCATGAACTGCAGTGGAGGCAGAGCAGAGAGAGCAATAACACTCAGCCATAGTGACAAGCACTGGGACTCACAGGCAGCACAGCACTCCAGGACCTGCCAGCAGCCGGGGGAGAGGTTATCACGGGTCAAGTCTAAGAATACCAACCATGAATTTCATTAAAGGCTATCTATTAAGACCTGACAACATGGCAGCACTAACACATGCTTTCGCATGTGATGCACATGAATAGTGAATTTCTCATACGGGGCAACTACCAGACAAAGTTCCCTTGTGTAAGGATGTCTGTGGTCGTCGCAAATGTTTTTCTTGATGCTAAAGTGTCCTTGATGTAGCTGTTACAGTTGGTCAGATTCTCATCGGTGGTGACTGGGCTTACAGGAGGGCTGATCAGACCGTCTGCTAGGGCTCAGCAGTTTGGGAATAACGTTAGAGGGGCAAGATCGACACATGCCGAGGACTTAGATCGAAGAAGTATTGGAAGCGAGATGAAGGAAAAACACAAGAGTAGATTTATGGCTGTAATGAAAGAAGACATGGGGTTAGTGTTAGTAACAGGAGGGGGGTCGGGGGGGATAGGTTGAGATGAAGGTAGGTGATTGACTACGGCAATCCCTGAATGAAGCAGCTGAAAGGAGAAGACATCTAAGGTCATCTAAGCTTTCTGTCTTTGATAAAGAACGGGCAAGATGTTTGTCTACAGTATGTATAACATTTCAGCAGCACAACTCTATCTGTCTATCCATCCATCCATCTCAAGAAAAAAAAGAGGGTTTTTAATAAGGTTTACATAATGATTAATAATAATAAATTATTAAAACTACGGGTGAAATCAATGTTGTCCTCAAAATTTCAGTTGGTGCAGCTCTAATAAACAGTACACCTGGATTAGGTCTTTCAGTATTAGGTTCAAAGAGGATATTTCAGTTTACCAATCAACCCCCATCCACTAATACAATCTAAAAGTTGCTACTCTATCAATAAAGACTAACTGCTAACACATTTGGGTGTCCAAATGTTTTTCAGCACAAGCCCTTGTAGTTTTGTAGCTTGGTAGTTAAAGATATTTTGCCTGATAAATCAAAGTACAAGTTACAATTAAACTCTTGGTGGCAAAGCTTATTATACTGCAAATGAAACTTATGTTAATGTTTTTTTTTTGGGGTGGGGGGTGGTTGTCTAATGACAATGATTTTCAAGTAATGGTATGTGAGACAATGTGTCAATATGTCAAAAATGTGTGACAATATGTCAGTGTGTCAAGGGTCTTCAAAGACCCACTCTGTTCCTGAATTCATGGGAAGTACCAGGAAAGGTCACTGTGACTCAGAGACATTCTGCCTTCTGCCAGTCATTCAGTCTGTTTATTTGAGTGTGATGTGTTTCTTTCCAGTACAGTGGTGTGTTCTTATATGTTACTGATATGAAGTATGTTCTTTGCAGCATTGGACGGTGTTCATTGAGGTTTCTGAGGTGTTCATCCTGGTTCCAGCGCTGCTGGGGCTGAAAGGCAACCTGGAGATGACGCTGGCCTCCAGACTTTCCACAGCGGTAAGAGACCAGTGTGAAGGCATAGATATTACCATTGTAAACCTCAGGAACAGCCCAAATCAATGGAAACTGCCTCAGTGACAAACATGGAACTGGTATATTTGCAAGTGATTGTGAAATGTTATAAATATGTGCTGCACTGCTTACGTGTCAAACATGTTGTTACTTCCTGTTTTAGTAATAGATGCTCTGAGACTAGAAGTCAAACATTTGTTTTGATCATAATTGACTATAATAACCAGTTAGACCAGTCTTTTATGAGGTGTCTATTACCAAAAAATCCTCTCAAAACTCATAATCACTGATGTCTTTGGCTCTGGAGGCTGCTTTAATAGGCTTTAATAATCATACAATTATTATCATTATTCTCCGGTAACTTATTTTGCTGCTGATATTATCATCATTCTCCGGTAACTTATTTTGCTGCTGAAATGTAAATGTAAAATGTAATGTAATGTACTAAGTTAGAGGAGGCTGAGAGAGCTGCGTGAATGTTAATCAGTTTGGTCACCTGTCAGTGGCCAGCGGAAAGAATGTGAGGATTGGTCTTAGGAAAAACACCGAGCTAATCCTTCATTCCTTTCCAACTTGGAGTCTGTGCTCCTAACCTCTGTGTAGCCACGTCCTTGACCTAGTAGGAAACACAACAAAGGACAAACCTCCGAAAGAACACAGAGCAAAGAAACTGGTGAAACGTACTATTCAGAGTGTTGAGGGAGGGGAGACGAGGGGGGGGTTGAGGTTCTCTAGATATAAAGCTTTTGTTAATTTGCAGTTTATGCAATGGAACAAAATATCCAGGGGTTGGGGGGGGGGGGTATCTTCAGTGGGCCATCTAATCAGTTTAGCTCTGTGACGTCTGGCTCTGGTCAGACCACGCTGAGCTGATTTAAAAAACCACTGTAAGTTTCCTAATGCGCTTATTGCTGGAAAAATAATGCAGTTTCCACACCTTGTTGTTAAAGGTTTTTTTTTTTTTACGTATGTTAGCATGTTAACATGTTTTATTGGTTGAATCTGACAATATGCAGCGATTTACCTCAACTCAGAAATAAGGTCTGTCAAACCATTAAAAAAATAGATAAACTAAATAACTAACTAAATTAATTAACAACAAAATATATAAAATTCTGTATCTGCTGAAACAGGTGATAAACAACAGCAGGTGTGTTGGTATTCCAGCTTGAAGTTCTTAGATGAGATGGAAAAACTTTTCATCAACGTGTTTGTCAACCGTGTATGAAAACAATAATAGGTTGATGGATGGTGGACTTATGGGAGATCGTTCGGCGTGAGTTGTTCCTCCATCATTTTCTCGTCTTGGTTTTAGAGACAAGCCTGTAGCAGATCTGCTGTCACACAGAACTGTTTGTGTGCTCATGTGTCCAGATGTTTTTCTTCCCTCTGCATATGTAAATGTTAGTGGACAGAAGGGAAGAGGAGCTCCTCTGTTTGTGTCCTCTCACTGTGAATGAGCATTAGGATCATTGCTTTGGACACACATACACACAGGCCTACGGTGGCCACAGACACTCGATGCTTAAGCCACCGTGGCCACAGACACTCGATGCTTAAGCCCACCAGTGCATGTGCGTGTGCATGCATGTCAAAGAGAGGGGATGAGATAAGTGTAGTCGGCCGCAGGCTGGTGAATCAGATCAGAGTGTCTTTGTTTAGAGAACTGATAACGTATTGTTCGGACTCCAACATGAGACACACACACACACACACACAGAATAGTGTAGTTGTACATGTAAAGCATTTGTGATGACTTTTTTTTTTACAAACCCAAACTAAACTTTTTTTTTTTTACCACAAACAGTAAAAAGTTTTAATTTATTTTAACATTTAAATTTTAAATCTAAGTTAAAAAAAGATAGTTGTATTTTCATTCTGACAAACCCTGACCAGAAACAGACTTGTCATTCCATACCTGGTACATGTACTGTATGTTGACCTGCGTGTATTCTTTCTTTGTCCTTCAGGCCAACATTGGTCAGATGGACACAGCGAAGGACATGTGGAAGATGATCATGGGGAACCTGGCTCTTATACAGGTGAGTTATGCCGGAGCACAGCTTTTATTTGACACCACTTTAGAGGTCTGGATAAGTAGTGGACAGCTGAGGAACAAATCTGTGGTGGTTACAGGGTCAGAAAAGAAGGTTGTGTGACCCTGTGTAAAAAACAGAAGTAAAAAAAAAAAGTAAATTCACAGATGGAAAAATTGGTGTAGGGTAAAATGTGTACATAATAATGTAGGAAATGTAGAGATATAGCTGTTTTATTCAAGTTTAGAGTAGAGTTTTGGCTTAGAACTTTTTGACCTCCCTCGGTGGAACATACAAAGCCATCATATACGGTAACTTGTTACAGGTTTTACTTAATATGAAGTCAGGATCTTCCTTGCACATTGAGGTGACTGTATTTGTTCCCTCTCACTTTGTTTAAACTCAGATGTACAACAAACAGACTGAACTCCAACAGGACCGTAGGCCTAAAGACGGAATGTCAAGTACATGTACTTGTACATGTACACATGCACCTGACATGTGCAAAATATTTGATCTGCTTGAACTCTTATCACGTCTCGGTGTGTCAGTCACCTCATCTCATGTTCTGCCGTTTCCAGTGGGACATAAACTTATGTAATATCAGAACAGTCTGAAAAGTCTGGGGTCAGTGTACTGTTACATCGCACATGTGCGGTGTCTTGTGTGGACGGTTGTCTGCATGTAGAAAGACGTGGTTAATGTTTAACCAAATATGTGACAATAGATCAATTGTTCTAATACAACTAGGAATTGTCTCCAAACAGTAGAAGCACATTATGATCTGACTCACATTTAAATTTAAATTCCAATTCACACAAAATCTCACTTACGTTACAGATCCTCATGGCTGATACCTATGATTTAGATATTTTCAATTTAGGAAATATTGACCTTTATGTGACCTTTTGTTCATGTCAGTTTGCAAATAGCAAATAGCAGAGATGCAGGGCTGACCAGAACAAAATATTTTTTTCCCAATGCATATTGTTTGGCATAAAATGTCAAATAGGACACAAAGAAAAATGTATAAAAATATAATCCAACTGAATCCTAATGCTGTGCCAGAGTGAGGGTCATCACCTTTGGTTGAGGTTGAATTTCAAGCGGCAGCAGAAATATCGTCCTATCATTGATGTTGTTGTACAGTTGTTTGATTAGTCATCATGGGTTTTTGTTTTAAAATGTCAGTTGAGGTTAAATGTGGTCAGGTCTTCACCTTTATAGAAATAAGTATTTTGACAATATCCATCCTAACATTAACTAGCCGTACTAAAAATATATATAGTTTACAATGTGACTTAAATAGCCCCTATAGCCGTATTAATAAAATATATAGTTTACAATGTGACTTAAATAACGTCCGTGTCCAGGTCCAGGCCACAGTCGTGGGCTTCCTGGCCTCCATAGCTGCAGTGATCTTCAGCTGGATCCCAGAGGGACACTTCAGGTTAGGACATGCGGTGCTGCTGTGTGCGTCGAGTGTGGCCACGGCCTTCATCGCCTCTCTGCTACTTGGTAGGTGTCATTAAAATTGACTGTTTTTACCATGAAAAGTGCTAACGAACGGCTACATTTCATATCCACATACTTATGAAAATAATTAAAAAATAAAATAATTCCAATTCTTACATCAGTACAACACAGTTGTTGAAGAAATTTGACGTCATAGTGATGTACAGTTTACTTCATCATTCATACCGTCTGTAAAGTTTTTGATGTACGTTAAACATCCATGATTACTTTGTTTGTTTTGTTTGTTTTTTTGTTGTTTTGTTGTTTGTTGTCTTCTAGACTTTAATGAAATCTGTTAAAGAAACACATTTCACAGTAAAGACCTCTCACCTGTTGTAGCCCAAACTACATGTCTAACATGATGTTCCACAGGGCTCATTATGATTGGTGTGATCATTGCGTCCAGGAAGGTTGGCATCAACCCTGACAACGTGGCCACACCTATTGCAGCGAGCCTGGGAGACTTGATCACCTTGTCCCTGCTGGCAGGCATCTCAACAGGACTGTACAAGGAGCTAGGTAACAGTCGTCCAACACATAGAGAAACACACACCCGTACAACTGTTCTTTTTATCAGTTTAGGGCCTTGTATTAACTCCCGGTCATTTGTACTGCCTAAAGAGAACTTTATTCCTAACGCTAATAGTTTAAAGCAGGGGTTCCAAACTCCAGGCTTAGGGGCCACTTCCACTGCACAAACCTCTCACATCTGGGCCGTGACTAGGTGTTAATATTCATTTTGCCCTTGAAAAAATGTTTTAATTTTATTTTTAGTTTAAATTCTATATTTGGTCATTTAAGAATATGAAATAAAATAGTCCTGGCTGTCCATTCTTTCACATCGACCATTTCCAGCTCAGACTCTTTTTTTTTCAGCCACAGCTCATTTTTTCACTGGGAAAATCCAACGGTACACCAGCAAACGAATACATCACAAAAAATTTAAAGTAATGAAATATAATGAACAAACAGTTACCATGTCTAGTTTCATAGCCATCTGCTGCCGCCTAGTGGAAGAATATTTAATAGTTTTACTTGTCATGCTTGCTTACGTGAACAAAGACATTATTTGCCATACAAAGATACTAGTTTTAGGGCCATAAAGTGGAATTGGATAGTTTTTTCCTTGTGGTTTATGTCATTTGTTTCTCTTTCTATTACAGACTACAATGACTACGCCAACCCATTAGTGTGTTCTGTCTTTGTGGCCATGTGTCCTCTGTGGGTGCTGATAGCCAGGAAGATCCCGTCCACTAGAGAAGTCCTCTACTCCGGCTGGGAGCCCGTCATCATCGCTATGGCTATCAGCAGGTGCAGCAGACGTTAGACCAGAGTCAGACTGAAAAAACTGTGGTTAAAAGCGAAAATTCTCTTTTTTTGAAACGTGACTTCGTAAAGCAAGGGTCATCAACTGTATTTGCAAGCCGTCAGTTGATGATCACTGTGTGATATATTTTTTTTATTTGATTGTTGTTTTGGTGACACATTGTAATACTGTAATATCAATATCCACCATTAATTGGAAATGCATAAAAAAATGTTAAATGGCACTTTTCAAAATTGTTTTTAATTTGAAACATGTCCTGTGTTATCTCCTTGTCTCCGTGGCTCAGTTTGCAGGACTGTAACGGGAGTTAACTATCACTGTCTTGTCTTGTCTCTTCTAGTGTCGGAGGTTTAATCCTTGACAAGACCGTCAGCAATCCGAACTTTGCCGGGATGGCGGTCTTCACCCCTGTCATCAATGGTAACGAGCTGTGCAGCTTTTTATCATGGGCTTCTTCCCTCCCTAACTTTGTTCCTGTCAACCATGTGGTGTCATAAGTTTAATGTTAGCTACATGGATCTAAGCTGGACTGGAGTTTTTTCAGTTTTTTTTTCTGTTGGACAAATATCTGCAATTCATCTTCTTTGTCCTCCTTTATGTTTTCCTCCCTCCTTTTTGTCTTCTTCTTTGTCTTCTCCCCCTTCCTTGCTTCCTTTTTCATTGTCTTTATCTTCCTTCTCTTCATCACTTTTCTTCTTCCTCTTAGAAATATTATTTTTCCTGTTTCTTCTTCTCTTTGTTCTTGTTTTTCTTCTTCATCTTTGAGTCTTAAAGATTATATTAGTAAACTGCGGCTGAACCCTGGTGTGTGTGTATGTTTTAGGTGTAGGAGGGAACCTGGTGGCGGTTCAGGCCAGTCGGATCTCCACCTATCTGCACATGAATGATGCCAACCTGACTCCCAGGAGGTGTCCCACACCCTGCATAGCTTTCTTTGGATCTTGTAAGTCAATGGCCAGGTCTAGAGCGCTCAATGATGATGATGATGATGATGGCGTTGATGATGAAATCTGTTTGTCTTTTCTCTACTTTCTTTCCTTCCTCCCAGCTGTGAACTCTCGTTCTGCACGCGTACTCTTCCTCCTGGTGGCCCCAGGTCACATTGTCTTTCTTTACACCATCAACTCACTGAGGGGGGGACACACCACCCTGACTCCCATCTTCATCACTTTTTACTTGGTCGCTGCACTACTTCAGGTACACATGCTTTGTTACTGAACTTAGGGGAAAGCAAACATTTGAAGTGGACATCTAGACAAGACCAAAGAAAGAAAAACACCTCTGCTTTCTGGTTTTGCTCCAGGTGATCATCCTGCTCTACCTGGCTGACTGGATGGTGCACTGGATGTGGGGCCGAGGCATGGACCCTGACAACTTCTCCATCCCCTACCTGACGGCACTGGGGGACCTGCTGGGAACCGGCTTCCTTGCTCTGTGCTTCCACATGCGCTACTTTATTGGAGACAGAGACGGTGACGTCGGCAACTGAATGCATAACATAAAAAAAAAAAAAAAACAAAACGCACAAAAGTCAAATAGGCCTTTATTTTTCCTCCTCCGTCAAACAAAACGCACAAAAGTGAAATAGGCCTTTATTTTTCCTCCTCCGTCTTTTACGATTTACACTCAGTGAACCTGTGACAAACCTCTGTGTTTTTCTGCCACTGAACGATGTCTATTTACAAAAGGGCTAATCTGTAGGGCTCAGATGGTAGAGTGCACACGTTCGGGCCGAAGAATGGCTTTTTCAGGACATCAGGACACTGATGCAGAGCAGCAGCTGCCCAGCATCCCAACACGGTCTGTATTCCTCTTTAGAAACTTTGGAAACACACACACACACACACACACACACATATCTCCCATTTAACACAAACTGCACCTGAAGAATCCAGCCCCACAGACTCCACTACTCCTAATAACTTAGTCCTACTACTTTTGTTACTATCATTCTATTGATGATAATTATGATTGTTGCTAAATAATGTATTTGATATAAATGAATATAATGTGTTCTATTCAGCAGGTCATTCCTCATTATTTTCAATGGGGACTTTAGCCCTCATCTTTGTAAAGATCACCTTTAACACTTGAAACCAAGACAAAACTGACGGCAAAAACCTTCCTAGGTCAAACCAACCTAGGAAGCTTCATCACCAAGTGCTAAATCCTGTACATGCGTACAGAGCGTAAGACACATTTTCTTTCATTGACGATACCAGTAGTAAACTAAAAACCACAGAGGACAGAATCACTAACTTAACATTCTAGGAAAAATTGCACCTGGAATCAGCTCCAAACCCAATCCTTCATGACTACCAACAGGTTTACCAACATGTTTACCACCAGGTGGCGCTGTTTTGAAACATCGTTTCTAGTTTGTTCTGACTTGAAGCTGCCCTAAGACAAAGACGGGGCAACAAACATTTTCAAACATTTTACTGCAGTTTAAGCCTTTGTTTATTTTAATGTATTGCTGTAAACTTAAACTGCAGTTTAAGCCTTTGTTTATTTTATTCTATTGGATTGGCCTTTAACTCCTCTCTGGCAGTGTGTGTGTGTGTGTGTGAGAAAGACTGAGAGGACGTCTCTCTTCTCTAATCCATCATGTCTGTGATTGTATTTAAACACATTGGTTGGTTATCGATCGGTTAATGATTTTACTTTTTTAGAGGAATCCGACACCTGCCCAAGTGTGTGCACATCCTCTTCACCCTCCTGACGTGACTTACTTCCTGTTTATAAAGCTGCAGTGTCCAATAAGGATGGCTCAATCTGATACTCAGTTGTCGGTTCGATAATGGTCAGAATTTTAGGATCAAACATCAAACAACAGTTATATCAACTTGACTTTGCACGACACTTCCCTGGTGTCCAGCTGGCATGGCGTCTGTTCCTGGCTAATGTTGTATTGGGTTTTACTTCTAAATCAACTTCTGGGTATTTACATACTGAGAATAGAAACCTGGACTCTCTGGGATTGTTTTTTAAAGATTTCTTATCTTAAAACTTAAGATACAGTTTGGGAAAATTGTTCTTTTAATCTATTGTTTGCGTCCATCACATGGTGATCACCGGTCTTAATTTAGTCTTTCTTGCCCTGCACGAAAAAGTCCTCACAGAGGCCACACTGATATTGTTCTGATTTTTATTTTAATTTTTTGTAATGATCTTGTGGGAGGATCTCCATTGATTCTTTGTTGTTCTTGGTGAGCAGGGAGTCAACCTCTCGGGTTAGCGGTCAGATGTCGTGAATCCTTATGAACAAGGTTTTTTTTTTTTTCTTTTACTATCCTTGTCTCTCAGGCCAACAGCTTTGACATGGTTTATTGTCATATCTTTGTTAAGCATTGCTCTGTGTTACATTTATTTAATCAAATGTGTAAGGTATTGAAAACGAACAACTTGAAAGTCAGAGGAAACATCAAGTTTTGAAGCTAAACCTCAATGGAAACAAGTTCCATATTAAACACAGGATCTGATCTGGAGCAGGTTGGGAAATGATACAACCTGCCATTCTACTAAGAAGAAATTCCAAGATAAAAAAAATCCCCTTCAAAAGTGTGGAGACATAAATGGATGATGAGTTCATGTAGATGTCCTCCACACAGACTTGATTTGAACCGTAATTCTTGTAGAAGACATGGGCTGGCTTTAAAACCGTGGTTCTCAATTATTTTCTGTCATGCCCCCCCCCACCCCCGCGCCCCACGAATTGAAACACTGTTGAGAACCTGATAAGGTGTATATTTTTATCTGTACAAACCACTGTATGAGTTGCTGCCCCCTAGTGACTGCAGGCTTGTTATCATTCATGCATTACAGCAGTGGTACACTTATGTCTATATGCGTGCCATATTCCATTTGAAGCCCCTCACGCCCACCTGGTACCCTCCTCCCGTCCCCCTATTTGAGAAGTACTGCTGTAAAAGATTAAGATATTGCCTTTGAGCCAGGTCCAGCTGAACTCCACTGTCTGCCCATCAATGTTTATTATACCAGTGGAGCGGGGAAAAGTGGATGTAGGTCTGTGTTTGCAGCTCACAGTAACACAGAGGTTGCTGGTTTAACACTGCCTTGTGTGACAGTGTCTCCAAAGTGAATCCCAACACTGTACAGCCATGTAGAACGGATACTTTGTCTTATAGACACTTTTCACCTGATCTGGAAGTAGGCAGAGTGTAAGGTGTTCTGCTGGTTTATGATTGGTAGAATGAGGCTGCAGTACTTTTGTCTTTCTTCCTGAAACATCATCTTTCTCTGTAGGTCTACATTGTCTTCAAACATTTTGTACTTTGAAGACAAAGCACCATGGGATATTGTAAATCTTTGACAGTAAATCTTTTTTTTTTTTAGTAAGGTACACTTCCCTTCAAACTAACGTCTCGTTATCTGCAGCAAGTCCGCCCCCTTGTGGATATATATTTGTTTTCACTTTTAAGGCTTGGCTTTTGCACCCAGAAGGTTGCGTCTGTTTCTAACATACCAAGTGTGATTTAGACTCACAGACATCGGTTGGTTTCACCGTCTTCATCCCTTCGTCTGTCACTCTCTATCATCCACTCTCAGCCTGACCAGGTGCCGGCGTTTTGCCTCAAAATGTTAAAGAAATACTGCTGTGAATACTTCTACACCGGGGACAAGTTATGCTTTGTCTATTTATTTTAAACAGAAAAGAGCACACAAAGCTAATTGTACATATTATATTTATTCTATATATATGGTTGTTTTCAGAGGCTCTTTATCACATTGATGTGTTGTTTTTTTCTTTCTTTTTTTGTTCTGTTTCCTTCGAGATGACCAGTAGAGCTTTTACAGCTTTGATTAATGATTAGCACAGTGCTTAATACAAGAGTTTCTGACACTGACCTAACACTGGATGGTTCTAAGTCTAAAAGTCCAGGAAAGATGACTTTTGTTGATGAATGTTACATCACGTAACCCTCCAGAGTTCTGAAATAACATGTAAAATAACATAATATGGCTTTTATTTCCAAGAGACTTTTTTCAAGTTTATTTACTGACTACGACTGGATGTGTTTACAACACAGGGGAAGTCCCAGTGAACCTATGCAACTCGGTGACTTGTTTCCATTCTCACCAGTCGCGATGTCACTCACTAAATAACCTCTATGCAAAAAAAACAAAAACAAAACACGAGAACATTTTTTTGTGTGTGTGTGTTCCTGTTGAAGATAGGGCTTAGTACCGATTTATATTCATTCAGTACAGGAACTAAAAACCTTGTGGTAACCAGGCTGGTGTGAGAGGGTTTGAAATAAAGAGAACTGACTGTTCTGAGTTAGGACTCGGTGGTTTTGTAGTCAATGAATTGAAGACTGGAAAAGGTCAAAGGTCAAAGGACAGTATATCAGTGGACACAGTACAATGAGATGGGACTGATTTGAGGAGGTCTGAGATTTACATTCAAATTTCACTTTAATAATAACATAGCAGAGAAGTCCAGAACTACTGGAGTCCTGTTAGTTCCTGTTTAGGTTCTGGTACTGTACACACAATTCCCAGTAAGATTCCTCTCTACTAGGGAAGGGTCCTTGAACGCTTCATGCAGGGCCACCCTCTAAGTCATAGCGTAGAAAAGTTCTAACTTATCCCAGCTTGACTCAGTAACCAATCAGGAGCTATTTCTCCCCAGCTATCTTTTTGATTAAGACTAATTGTAAAATACAATAATGAATATTATGCAGTGTTTTGTAATGATGATTGTACTTTATGTAGTTGGAGGAGACGAGGGCCGGAAGAGTCATCGTCTAAAATCGAAATAAATGATCACAGAGCTAACACCTGGACACGACACTGTCACGCGTCCCTGTGGTTGAAGATTGTCTCTCACTGGTAGATGCACATGTAACAATAACCAGCCTTTTAAACCCATTTTACCCCCAACACTATACTGCCTTGTTTAACCTCGGGGCTTAAGGGCCTTGAGTCCTTGAACTCAAACAGTGCTGATTCTCAGGCTGCCAACATCCACTCCCAGATCCAGACTTTTCATTCAGACTCTTAATGTCAAGTCTTTACGACACAACGAACTGTTGTAGAGAGAATGATACATGCACTGCAGTGTTATCGGGACGACGGTCTTTGCAATTTTTCTGTGTGCGCTCTTGTCAAAGCCCTCCCCTCCTTGGGATTGGAGGAAGGCTATCTCCCTGCAGGACTTTGTAAATTGATGGAAATTAAAGATTATTTTATTTCATACCATTCTCCTGTGTGCGACCGTGATTTTATTCCTTTACTTGAACTCTTCACTCATCATTTCCGCTGTCATCGTGAGGGCTGGAGTGGGAACGTAATGTTAAACCCAGGACACTAAATGTTCAGTGGTGTGCCGTTAAGGCTAACCAGGCCTCTGCTGGCCAAAACTATCAAATTCAGTGACTTGTTTTTCGGTTCGTATCACGAATTGTAAAATAATCCCGAGTATGTTCTCTGTTCTCAGCAGTTGGCCACACCAAGGCCTTCTCACTGGCCTAGAGTGACGTTGGTAAGTCATGTTTTTTTGTTGACGGGTTTCTCGTGTGTGTTCTATATATGTACGACTTCTTGTGGTACTTGGTTGTTCCTGCGTTCTTGCCTGTGGTTCCTGTGTGTTGAGTGTTTCTGCCTGGCCCTGATTTTTTGTAAGTGGATGAATGAAATTTGAACTTCATCCTTTTTTTCTCTGTTTTTTCCCTCTATCCTACATTTTCTGCTTCTGAATCCATAAACGTGACAATGACTTCTCATCAGTTTTAAACCTGGTCAAACTTTGACATCAAAACTTCTTTATTGACCCATTACAAACCTTAAACATAAAATATAGGTAATTACTAAATATATATTTATTTATTTATATATGTGTATAAAAATAGATTTTAGACAGTTTTTTTTCACAAACCTGCTGCTGTATTTCTGCTAAATTCAAATGCTGCCAAGTCACTTCATAATCCTCTTAATAACGGCAGAATTTATTTGGCTTTACTACTTATTTTGTTGAATGTTTATAATGAATTTTACTTCTGGTAACATCTCTTTCATTAAGATAGAATCTCAGGATTGAGATAGTAAAAAATAAAAAATAAATCAATAAAAAATATCCAAATACAAAGATTAGACATCATTTCAAAATACGATAATAACAATATATTAGATCATGCATTTAAATAATGACATATATGTACCAAACATTATATAAAAGAGATTATAAAAGTATATATAAAAATTCTTTAAACATTTAGTGTGACTCAAATACAGATACACAGGTGGAAAACAACAAAGTGGAATTAAAGAAGTCTGAAAAGTAACAGCGATCAGCAGAGCGTCGGCACTGCTGATGACATCAGAAGTTTGTCTCTGTTCTCTGCTGCTTCTCCTCTTCCACCGTCCAGTCCATCCACCACAGGTTGACCGGAGGACAGGTGCAGACACAGAGCATCAGCCACTTGTAGAACCTTGGACGCACCTGGATAGAAAGGTTTAAAAAAAAACAAAGATAGCTTGACTGAACAACTACTTGCTCCGCTGCATTCGCTTTGATTTTATGACACGTTTGTATCGTTGGGGAATAGAGCAGTGGAAGGAGTCATAAGATCAAATGTCAGATATAAAGTATTTCTATGTCATTCATCAACAACCATCTAAACTAAAGCATTAAGGAGGATGTGATTGGTTGAGGCGTATATCCCAGTGTGTTTGTTGATATAATTATTCGTTGACGTTGAAGTCTTACCATCTCGGCTCTTGCTGCACACGCCCACAGTGTCCACCACAATTTTCCCCAACACTGATCCAGACATGTTCTGGAGAGACAAGTTCAAAGTACAGTCTTTTTTATTTTGTGATGTGGTTATGTCAACAATACGGCTTTGATATGACCACACGAAAAGAAACTCACTCTCCAGAACTAAAGTCCACGGATTAAATTTGTGTTTTTATAACACAGGGCCACAGACGCGGTGGGTTTACAGCTGCCTTGAATATTGAGTATTTTCATATATATTATTGTGCTTGTTTCCGCATGAATTGAAAGTAGACGATCATCACATATGTTTTGTGACATTTTTGTGTATGTGGTCAGTGAGGAGATGTGTTTGTCCACGCTTACCTGGTTGCACAGTTGCAGCAGCAGCGTGACGACATCCCTGAGTTTCTCCTCCAGCCTTAGTGTGTTTGTCACTTCCTTTAAATTCTAGAACCAACAAAGTTCAAAAATAATGCACCTGAATGTGTTTATTACATTACTTTAATGTTCAACAAAAACAAAAAGACAGTTATTATATTATTACTGTACATCTACACATGTAGGTTATACAGCCTTATACAGAAAATAACATTTGGGATCATTAAAATGGGACGGTTTAGTTTTTCTTACCTGTGATTGTTCTTGGTCTGGTTCTCTCCACCCAGTTCTCTGTCTGCTGCCTTTAAGAGCAACAGTGGAGTTTTTAAGAGGAATGTTATTCTGAGAGGACGGAGGACTGACTGTGTGTCCTCGACATCTGCAGAAAGGACAGTTAAGTGTTGTCTCTCTCACTCTCTCTTAATCTCTCTCTGCCCCTCTCTCTTCAAAATTGCTACTATAGTTATGATTTTTTTAAATGATATTTTACATACAACAATACTTCTCAAATATGACACAAAGTGTTAACGTGGAAGATACAGATGTTAATAATCTGTTTGTTTTTTTCTCCATTTACAGGAAGTTCTGGCCTTCTTACTTGGCTTAGAGCGTATGTAAAGGTGTGTGTTTGTGTTTATGCTGACCCTTTTCCACAACTGTGCTGACGACTCAAGTGCTTCTTCACCTCTGACTCGCAGCACTGTCCAGTCTTACTCGCCCCTCTGTCCTCCTCCTCTTCATCAGAGGCAGCTCTGCCCTCCACTGCCCTCTGCAGACCCTCAGCATCTGCAAACACCACAAGGATGTTACTTTGCTGATCCCCTAGAGCGACACCAGGGGGAGGGGAAGGGGCTATTTTGCATTCTTAAGTTAGTTTGTGATTTTTTTAACTGCATCAAGTCCCATGATTCAAGATCTTCTCTCACCTGTCTTGGTGATGTCCTCATCTCCTAATAGAGTCCCTGGATGGAAGGGAGTGTCACGGACACATTTACAGCAGGGTCTAGTTGTGGTAAGGGTGAGAAACAAATCAGTTTTATTAGAATTTTATATGGAGATGTAGCGATGCATAGTGAATCAGTTAAAAAAAACTATACAAATGCGTGACAATTCTTAGTCTTAAATTAAAAATGAATTGTGCATCATTTCAAAAAAAGTGCGGCCCCCCTGTTCAATTTTAGGACAATTGTGGCCCGCGAGTCTAAAAGTTTGCCCACATCTGCCCTAGTCTCTTATTTTTGGTGAATTTCCGCTACACAAAGTGAGTACCTGTGCTGTTGAAGCTCAGACTCCAGCTGACCTATCCTGGCCTGGAGCTTTGGCACAGCCCGAGCTTGTTCCTGGATCAGTCGGACCCTGTGTAGCCCCAAGCTCAGAGCCTCCCTGGCCTCCTCCGCCCGTCTCCTGTGGGAGATCATTCAAAACCTTCACATAATCTTCCTGCACTTTAAGATAACGTTACATCTAAAGGTACAACAATAAGTGAGTTGGGAATCTTCCATTAGTTGCAATAAGCTGTTTCACCATTAGATGTCACTAAAGCCTACACCCTGTGGCCTGTATCCAGAGAACTTGCCTAATCTGAGCATTCTCCTTTCTCAGTGTGGACTCCAGCGCCTGCAGCCTGCGTACTTCCTCGTAGGCCCACTGCAGCTCCTGCTCCAAACGCTCGTTGAATCTGATAGCCTCCTCTAACTGCCCATCACGTGACGAGCGAATCAGCTTCAGCTCCCTCATAAGGGGGTCCCGCATGTCCTGTATCCTTACACCTCTCCTGACCCCGCCTCCTCTTCCTCCCCCAGCACCAATGCACTGGCCTCTGATCCTCTGTGTTGGGACCAGCTTTCCCTTTTGAAAGGTGATGGATGTTGTGGGAGTGGAAACGGCAGAGCTGAAGATAGAGGGGGGAGAGGGGGCGCTGCTGCTTGACCGTCTGAGGGCCACCTCCAAGGCCAGGCAGCGAGCGTCGCTGCTCTGCAGCGCTGAGCGCAGATCCTCCACCAGCTCCCTCAGAGCTGAGAGTTCATCTGGAGAGGAACGTCAGAGGAGATTTTACCAAATGGCTCACATTTAAAATTCAGTGACCACATCCTTTAATCTTTCACAGTCTTTACTTTATTACTGCACTGAGAAGACACGTTTTGACCCGAGGCCAACAATACTTAGCCAAAGTTTTCCAATGGTTATGACCCACAGCATATATATAACATTAAGAAAATGTCATTATATACAACCAAACAAAAATGTCTTTGAAATGAAATATATCTTCTAGTTTAAGTTTACTCACAATTTACTTTACTCAGTCTGAAACCTGACCCTGTTTAGTTGAACACATTGATGATATACTCACAGGAACTGAGTCAGACGTTTCATTAATCGTGTTTTATCTGGAGATAGGATTTGAATATTTCTTGCTGATAACATTTCTTGTGACTAAGACACATTCTGGGTTCACAGGGGCGGAGATAAAAATGTAAAAGAAATGCCATCCTCCGATCAAAAGTAGTACCAGTAGAGAGTCTTGCCTCTGACCATCAACCCTCGAATGTCCAAAGACATCTTTAAACACCACAGTCGTCCTGAACACGCGTCCTGAACTGTACCTGTTTCTCGCTCCACAGACACGGTTCCCACTTTACTCCGGACATGTGAAGGTCCACTCTGCTTGCCGGACAGATCAAAGCTGACACACTTCCTGCGCCTGCGGCGCGGCCACCGGAGCCGGATCTGTCTCTGCACCAGCTCGGTGTCGTCAGTCGGGGGCAGCTGCCTCACTGGATCTCTGTCACCTCTGCGCGCACTGCGCACTCGGAAATATTCACAGAGCCGCGAGTGGAAGTCTTTAAATGACAACTGCGATGGAAGCCTGGAGCACACGTCCCGGAACTCTTCCTCATCATCGTCCTCAACCGCAGCGACTCTCGCCACTCGCGTCCCTCTGGTTCTGCCCAGACCCAGTACGGCACAGAGCGCTGTGAAGTCCTCCTCCGTCACCACGTCTTCCTGGTTGGTGTAGGCCAGATGGTGGAAGACCTCCTGCAGGTACTGGTCTATTCCGGTTGCCAGGACGACGATCTCGTTCTCCACGCCAGGGTCAGGGCAGTGGTGATGTGCCAGTGCGCTGCGGAGCCACTGGCTTTTACGCGCGGCGCGAGGAGACGGAGACACTGCGGTTCGTTCCATGACTTCAGGTAAACTACCTTTTCGCTGGAAAGTCACCAAATATAACCGGGATATATTTTCAAAACCGTCCTCTCCCTTTTTGTGTTTTTGACTATGCGTAATTCCATGAAAAACTATCCGTGGCGTTCATCCCCAGAGCATCCAGTGGTGAATGGATGCCCTCGGGGAGGAGAGAGAAGAAAAATGCCAAAGAAGCGACTCCACCCTCTTGTGTGCTCACTCTGGCCACCACTAAAGTTTCCTCTGCGGTTGATTCAGCGGATCGTGTGTCAATTATTTGCACTTACGGTAACTGTTTCAAAGCCATTTTCTTGTGTAGTGTCTCTGCACACTGCACTATAATGGTTTGGTCGGTGAGTTTGCGCTGTTGTCAGGGATGGTTTGAAACCAACCGTGAGTCACTTCCAAATGCACTGTAAACACACGAGGAGATTGAACAACATGAATGGTTGAAAATGACAAGCTTAATTAAATTCAATTATTTTAATTAAAAAAAACACAACTCATTTGCTGGAGGTCACACTGCTGTTGTGGATGGTAATAATGTGTACATTTTACTGAATGCGAGCAGCAGGTCCAGCGTCAAACTGGCCTCACCTCAAACTACCCATCCTTCTATAACAGAGTAAAGATGAGTAATGGTGACTTTACCTTTGCATACAGAGCACAAACAAGGCCACGCCGGATCACATGACTAACTGTCTCTGTGGCAACATACGCTTAAAAAATAAAAAGCTGTACATCACAACGTTGTTACAAAAAAGTTCACCTGAAAGTCAAATGCAATTTTGTGTTCTGCACTCCTGTGCGGCGGAAATACCTTTCCGCGCCTCACCTCACCACTCATCACATACCTGGCAGCTTAAAGGGAGGCAAGCATCTTGATTACACATGTTTGACATGACCACAGCACATAACTTAGATATGTCCTCACAGCGATAATCGTTTTAGTGCATCAGAAGTAATGCCAACATCATTTGTTAACTGGCAGGGTCAATATACCAGAATTGGACTGTAATATCTCCCCAACCCCCATTTTGAGAACCAACAGCTTGATTCTTCTTTTTGATTCTTCTGTGGTGTCATGGATGATCTGTCCATCTGTGCACATTCACCCACACATGTCAAGGTAAAACAGTCCACAGCTAATGTTTAAGTATTGTTTTTAAATGGACTCACCTGCCCTGGAGGGAAACTTCAGCTGTTATTTAGTCTTTGTTTTGGTTTCCAGGACTATTCTGAGCTGTCACAGTCACCGTGACTCACCTGCACCGCCTTTGACCTTTGAAAATGTGTATTTACAGTGTCAGTGAGTTGGTGAAGTCTATGACTGGAGAACAAATTCTCTCTGTGTGTCTCCCTCCCTGTCTGTCTCTGACAGATAGGAACAGGAACTTGTCTGAAGCTATAAAACAACATTTATCTGCATGTTGCTTGTTTGACGAACATGTGGAGGCAGGCCACGGCTCTGCGGCGGCGATCAGCTCAGCTCATCTGGAGCCTCCGGGGAGCAACCTGAGATAAGACCGTCAAGGTCAAAGTATGCACTTCAGCCACAGACAAAGAGATTAAAAAAAGGAGAGAGAAAGAAAGAAAGAAAGAAAGGTAGTGAATAAAGATAAAGCCCTCAGGCTGTAGTTTTATTCTGCAATGAATGGCATATCCAGTGTTTTGGATCCAAATGTGGGCAAAAACGTGTTACTCATAACTTTTTCTCATTGCCTTCCAGCATAAACAGAAATTCTCTTGTGCTTACGTTTGTCATTCTCGACCTACAGTGTTTTGTGGTAACTTCATCGTCGCCCATGAATTTATTAAAGTCTTGTTCCATCTTTCCGACGTATGCCGTTAAATCAAATTTCACACAGGAATTAGTTGGTGCTATAGGTACTGATGTACAGTACTCAGTTCGTAATTCTTCACACTTTCGGAACACTTTATTGATCTTTTATCTGCTGATTTCTTTTCTGTTCTTTTCCACTCCATGGCCTCCAGCTGCTGGCCTCCTGCTGCGGTCCACTCTTGGTGAAGGGAGCTGATCAGTAACAAATAGGATGGGCAGCTGTGAATAGAGCAGAGTTAGGGGTTTACAGCTGGGTGCGTGTCCTTTTGTTAACCCTCTGGAGGAGAGTGAGCCAGAGCCACCATTAATAGGAGCTGTCTCTTTGTTGGTGGCCATATGCTTTATTGAGGGTCAACCAAACCAAAGATACAAATACACATACACACATAGGTGTTTTTACTCTATCAATTATTATTTACCAACTGTGCTGTAGTCCCCAGGGTAAATATTCAAACAGAAAGTGGCATGCACACAGTAGAGACCTTCAGAGTCCTTGAGTTCAGTCGGCCCCTAACCACCCAGATGGTCAGATGTCCTTGGACGACCCTCCATTCATTTGTTTTTTTGTAGATCATAAACTACACATTGTTCTGTTAGTCAAAGAACATCTGTCAACTCTGAAGCTAATCACAGTTCTTTCTCTGGGCAGTGGGGCTCCATGTTGTGGAAATGTGCGTTAAAGTAAACAGCCACCACATGACTAATGTGACGGACGATACTACTCACAATCACCCTTCATCACCTTAATTCTGTAATCTGTGATCAATGAGGAGAGTGTCAACACTATCGTCCACATGAGGGATTAGAGCAACACAAGAGGCAATTCAGCCTTTCAACGGTCGTGATTTATGATCTCTCTCTCTCTCTGTGTGTGTGTGTGTGTGTGTGTGTGTGTGAGTGGTAGACGTGGGTGTCACATTGTAAACATGACTCTGCTGTGTTACTATGTAAACATTTCCTCATTCCCTAGATATGGAAGGATCGACTGTTTTTACCTTTGAGCTGTCCCACTGAGATCAATGCTGAGATGCAAACACTTTCATCCATTTTAAGCTTATCCTTTTTTACAGCCCTGTATTAAAAAATAATACTACTACAGCCTGCTTAGGTCGTCAAGCAACTACAAGTTGTTTTTTTTTGTTTGTGAAAATGTAAAAGGAAAATGTTACAGACAGTTAAAGGAATACACATGCATTCAAATTAAGATATTTACATGGCAACTTTACCTTTTGTTTTTTCTCACAATGTTTTTTCAAGTTCTTTAGGACATTGCAAAGCTGTCCTAGTCATCTTGCACAGATCTGATAAAACTACAGGGCTTAGTACTTCGAGCAGTGATTATATATATATATATATATATATATACAGTATATTACAATTATAAATAGTGTGCTTAACATCATTGTAGTACAATACTGCTTAGTGCAACATTTCTCAATTTTTGTCAAAACAAAATCTTTATCTTTGAGTGGAAACTTTGAATTAATTCATTTTTTTCTTAAAACTGCAGTAACTGTACACGGCAAATTCTTATTATATAAATTTAGTACATCAGCAACAAAGGGGAAAATAACTAATTAAAAAAATAAAGATTGGCATTTTGAGAAGATGTATATTAATGTGAATATTTTATAAAACGTTACGTGCCATATTTTAAAAAATATAGTGGCATTTATTTTGAAAATCCATGTTGCCGCTGCTGCTCTTGTGTCACTCCTGTGATGTTTTAATTTTATTTATGAGACTTTTGTCAATTTTGATTTCATTTTGTTCATGGCCTATGGTAACAAATTAAACACACAAAGTATTCTAGCCCTCAGGTACAGACTCTGTAAACTGAAAAACAGAATACACACACACACACACACTGGATTAAGCAGCTGCATTCCTGGACACCAGGGGAGATCCTGAAAGAAGACATGTGGCTACAGGCAAGGACCAGCTCTACATGCAAAAAAATTCACACCTATTACGCGTGCACACACACAGTCTGGGTGTGACGGCTGCCACAAATACTGAGAAATCCCACCCTGTGCAGTCAGTACAGTAAAAAACTGACGTGTGTTTCAGTTAAATATCCTTGGACGGACATTCTGTGTTCATATGATCATTTCTTTGTTTGCAAAAGTAGACAGTCAGGTGGCTATCAAATACTGGAAAGCTGGTTTTCCAAAACAGAAACTTGACTCTTGTTCAATTTTATTTGGTTGCAAGAAACAAGATCTAAGAAACATAATCTAGAAGTGCTCATCATTTCTGTGGTGACTCCAGTGGCAGAAATATTTTCTGTTCATTTTTTGTTTGTTTGTGTTTTGGTTACACTGACTATTGGCGCATTATCTATTGACTCAACAGACGTTTCCCTTTTCTCTCTCTCTCTCTTTCTTTCTGATACTTTTCGGCAATCACTTCAGAACAGTCAAGTGTTTACATTTTTATCAGTATACCTCCACCTTTTGGCGGTAGATGGCAATTGCTATTGTCGTGTTCATTGCATGTCCTTTTTAAATTTTCGCACAATGACAGACAGGGGCACTAGAGAGTGCAGATGTTAAACAAATCAGGAAAAGTAACAAAATATAAAATAGTTAAAATATAAAGTGTGCACCATTTGCAACCGCAGAGGTTAAGTTATACTATTATTAACCGGTTGATGGCGGTAAATATTTTGTTCTAAAAGTCAAAGAAGGAAGCGCAGAAAAGGAAGAAGAAGAAGAAGAATAGGAATAGGAGGAGGAGGAAGATCAACCTTTTCACATTTTACAGCAGTAAATTTACACACGAAAGCTTCACGTTCTGTCGCCGTTTTGTTATACAGCTAATCTTAAACGATGGGAAAGGTAAGTTTGTGTTTGTGTACACGTATGTTCAGCGATACGTTTTTTAAGAACTGCTAAAACAATTACAGTTTATTCAGTTGAAATTCAAATAATAACCTGCATAAATGGTTTATAAACGTAGAGCTTATCGTTTGTAACACATGTGCTACAAACGAGTGTTTTGTGCTGGGGACAAGTGTTTTTATTCACTCAGTAGAGAGAAGTGAAGTGTCTCACAACAACAATGACTTTCGAGTGACCCGCCACTAACGACAAAGGAAATGCTATGGTTCGCTGGGGTACTGGGTTGATCGTAGAGCGCCTCCTAGCGTGTGGAGTTGTACTTGCCCAACCACCAAGTTCTACTATTATTACGTCCTATTTTAATAGGACTTTAAATTGAACCCTAAAATTGCATTATAGAAAGTGAAATGAATAAATATCTTAAAGTTTCTCTGGGTAGCGTTGCTACCAAGTTATAGTGTCTTTTAAAGTCTTCTTTGACATGTAGCGGAAGCTAACGTATTATTAGTTGCTATGTGATCGACTCATATTGACTCTGTTTTTTAAGAAGTTGTTGTTAGCTATAAAACATCTCAAATTAACTGTTTGTGATACAAGTAGAGGCATAAACGTTGTAAAAAGCAAAGCAAGTGTGTGCGCGCGCGCAAGCTGGCGTGTCTGGCGGCGGCCGCAGAAACTGGATCACCAGCGACTGTCTCAGCTCCTTCAGTCTTACAATGATCGGACACAGTAACCGTTTGTGCTGAGGACAGGATTTTGGAGAATGAGTGTAGAGTGGAGACATAGGACATATGTGTATTTGTGGACCTGCAGGCACTTCCAGGTAGTGGACAAACTCATACGGCTACTCCAGGTTTGTGAGACTTTTACTCCTTCACTCATACTTTGTGTGTGTGTTTGCTTC